TAAATTTCAATTTTCCCCCCCCCCCCCCACAACTTTTGCTTATCTTTGCATTATTTAATATATTAAATATAAATATAGAATAATTTTTATAACAATATATAAGTAAAAAATTTTTTAAGTGGTGTCAATGGAGTCCCTATCTAGTTTTTTTCTGCTTGTTCACTACATCCTAGCTGAGCTTTTAATTCTGTATATTGGCTGTGGTGCATACGGCAATGAAATAGCATTGCCTCTAAATGAATGAATGGGGTAAACGAATTCAATGGGGTACCTCATCAAATTGTGTCCCTATAAGACAAATGCCTTTATTATTTTATTGAAACTTTAAAAAAATTTCTTTCCATGTTTTTAAATGATCTGACCACTAGTGTTTGTGGTCTCTCTTGTTGAATTCTGCCAGCTTCATGCACAGTTCTCTGAACCTAGCTATGGAAAAACATCCCAGACTTCCTATCATTTTCTTTGTCTGTAACATCATTTAAAGCTACAGTCGCGCTGGATTTAAAAGGGGGAAGATTTTACACTTCGACGGTGAAATCGTACGGCTGTCCACACTTGGATTTTCGACTCGGTTAAGTTTCCTGTCAGAGAGGGTAAAAACCTAATCGAGCAATGAAAAGCAATTATTGAGGGCGCTAAACGGTGACCTCTACTTCTAATCGCCGAATGACCTGCACAGACCAGAAAAATGAACGCCGAGCAACCAGCAAAAGCAACCAAAAGAAAGGCCTCCGACAGAAAGAGGAACAGGAACCATGAAGAAATGCACGCTTTAATAGAGATATGGGGGGAGAAGGGCCACCAGGAGGGCTTTAAACTATAACTCAAGAGTATGGACAAACATATCCGAGAGACTGATCAAAGTTTTCCCGGACTATACCCTTACCGCACTTGAAAATCGGGGAGGGATTGCATCAAATACCTAAAGAAAAAGTACTGAAATGCCAAAAAAGTAAACAACTCGAGTGGACATGGCCGGGAAAGTTCCCTGTTTTATAACGAATTAGACGAAATCTTGGGTAAGTAATATAATACTATACTTCACATTGCCCTTACCTTACACTCTACAGTTCTTTTGCTCTAGGCTATGTCCAGACGTTTGGACCCTGCAGAGTACCCAAGTAGAAGTACTGGAAAGCAATCAGATTTTCGTTGGCTTTTTTGACATGATTAGGTGGGATGCGACAGGGCCGAGAATGCTTGATTGGGCGATTGTTGTGAGGGGGTACAACAAGTAGGAAAGCGAGGCCTAGCCTACAAAGTAGCCTGTGTAAGGTTACTCAGATCTAAGTTACTTGACATTTACGCAGTTATGATTCTGTTTAGTTTAACTTCAAAAGTAGTAGGCCTATGTTGTTATTTAGGCTTCAACACTCGACACTAGACTAGCTTAGACCTATGGCCTAGTCTAGCTATCTTCTATTTTAAATTTTATCAAGGATATTTAAAACAATAATTTTATCAGCAAGATAGTGTGTGTGTCTGCTTGTATAAATCGTTAATACCAGCTGATGAATATTTTATTTTTATCTTTTTTGATAACTGATATTTAAAATAACTTTAATTTACAGGGAAGCGACCAATGAATAAAGTTTTTATATCATCATACAGATTCCTCCAACTCCGACTCTTCTTTTGAAGTTCCACCTCCGCCATTTTACAATGAGCCAGGACCAACACCAGCGAAAGTTCCTGCGTCAAGTACAGAGAGGAAGAAACAAGCGAAGCATGAAAGTAATTGACATTTATAGTTTTCACCTTAAAACTAATTTTACATTATGTGTTTGTTTTTGAAGTGATTATATGCATAACGTTACATGTCTGTCAGATACATGTTTGACATGTTGTCATAGAAAAAATCCATTAAAAAGTTAAAGGGTACAAATAATTTCTTTAAATTGTAAATGAGTAGTAGAACAGAAAAAAAACAAAAAAACAAGGTGGTTATGCTGAGCCTGTTAGTTAATTCTGCAATATTATTGAATATTCGTGCTGTTTTCAGAAAAAGACGAGGAAAGAAGTCTATTAATCTGATTGAGAAACAGAAACGCGACGACACAACCAGTGAGCTTCTTCAGCTGGAAATGGACCGTCTTGAAGAAGATCGAAAGCGACGTGCAGATCAATGCGAGGCTTGCGATCACCAACTAATGTTAGAACAGATGGCTGCAGAAGAGTGACGTGTGCAAGATAACAAACAGTTTTTGTTGCAGTTGGCCAATATTCTCAGCAATGTGATGCAAAATGCAGGTGCCCTGAATAATTCCTATGCTGCACAGCACCACAATGCCCTGACCAGTTGACAAGACCCTCATAATTTACAATAAGTACAAGTAGTTTTTTTTTACTGTTGTATTTCTATAATATACGATAATAATTTACCTCAACTATTCAATATGCAATAACATGTTAATTAAGATTTTATGAAACTAAAAATATTTCTGCAAAATAATTGTATGGTAAAACCATCTCACCTTGCTTTAAGTGTTAACGTATAAATTATATAGACATTTGTGTAATGTTGTCTTTTATTTATTTATTTTTTTTTTTACTATGGTTTGTGCAGTGGTTTTAGGTAATATGCACAATATAGTTTCAGAGCTTATTCAAAATCACATACATTTTAAGTTCACTGGTGCTATATAAAAATTGTAGCCATTTTTGCAATGTTGTCCTTCAATTTCTTTTATATATTATAGTTTTTGACAGTAATTTTAGTTGACAGTATAGTTTGTGTTTATGTGCATAAAATAAATAGTTTTAGAGCCTATATTCAAAATCACATAAATTTGTGATGTTCATTAGTGCTTAATATATAAATTGTAACCATTTTTGTAATGTTGTCTTTAAATTTATATTGTTTCATATTAAAAATTTAAAAAATTATTTAAAATTGTGTTCTTTATAAATAAAACTGATGTCTTGTGTACCAACTTCCCACATTTGTTTAATCTTCTTATCGAGTCAGTACATAGCTAGTGTGTATGATCTTGCTTACGTAGTGTGGTAGAAGGATTTGCAGGTAGGATGGATACCTGACATGGGCCGCGATGTAAACGCTCCTTCTGTGACCGGACAGGGGACTAGTGATGGACCAGTACACCAGGGTAACCCCCTACTCCTCTCGAATGGTGTACTGATTTCTTTAAAGTGCACACAAGCCAATAGTGTACACTGGACCTACGGTTTAGAGTCCTTATCCGAGAAGACTTGTTCCACCACCGGAACCATAGGTAAGCATGCCGTTCGAACCAGCGCCGATATTATGGATGTATGTCACGGTTCCTCTGTCTTAACCGCTCGGCCAAACGACTTGCCATTTGTTTAATGATGAGTATGAGGTGAAAAAAAACGACAATTGAGAGAGACAATTGGGAGTCAACTGATGGTTTTAGGAAGATTAGATGACCTACAGTATGTCCACATCTTCATTATGCACTACCTCTATAGCTTAATCAGTCAGTGAATTCATGTGCACATGAATGTACCCTAGCTGCACTGATGAGGCCTGGAA